ATCAGAATGTGGACTGCGTCGCACCCCATTTCCCTGAGAAGCCAACTCGTCCGTCCTCTTTCTCATTGGGTTCGGAAGATTCGTCGACTCGCACGCCGTGGTTTTGGCGCGCGTCGCAGCCCGGCGGCTCGGGCGGGGGCGCCTGCAACGGGAACCTCATTGCCGAAGCAGACAGAACACGCCGAATTGTGCGCGCGTGCATGCACGTACGTGAGAGACAGGGAATCAGTCATGATGGTCGGAATGGAAGCAAATTATGCCGCCGCAATTTTTCTCGCGAGCAGGCTCGTTCGCCGACCGGCCGCGGCGCGCGGAGTCCCCTGGGTGGCTCAGCAAGAGCGGCCCGCGCAAGCCGTCCCCGAGCGCGCCGCGCTCCCCGTCGCCGCGGGATGAGCGCGCGCCAGGCACGCCCCCGCGGCGCCTTCGGCCGCGGCCCCCGCCATGTCCGCCCGAGCTGGAGAAGGTGTGCGACAGCAGTGCTGTTCGCGGCTCCAGCTGGAGGCCGTTGCTGCCCGGCTTCGAGGTCCCGCGTCCGTTCTGGCAGCGGACAGGCCGCGCGGCGCCGATCGGTTCAGATTCACGCGGGCAGTCAGCAGTCGCGACTGGCAAGGGCAAGGGCAAGAGCAAGGACAATAATATGAACAAGTACAAGAGCGAGCCCAAGCGTAAGCCCACCGGCGACCAGTCCAAGAAAGAGACGGCGCGCCGCGGACGAGAAGGCCAATTGCCAGAGTGCTGGCGCGGCCATGGCCCGCGCCGCCGCCAGCGACGACGACCGCAAGTCCTCGCCAGGCAGTGCCGCCTCTCCGGGCACGCCCAGCGAGGAGGTGGGATTCCGGTGGGATCGGAGCGGCTTCCATCACCAGGAGGACACAGATGGTGCGCCCGAGGCGATGGTGCCAAAAGTACGTGCACATCATTCATTGTCATCCTCCATCCCTCACCTCCTTCATCCTACCCAGTTAAGGTTTCGGTACTCTTCCTTCTCGCCTCCCCACGCGACCCCAGGGCCACCCATCATGCCTGATCTCGCGACGGGCTTTCAGACTCTCGCGTCTGCGGCCCAGGGTTACGAGCGGGCGCAGAGCCGGCCCCAGTCGAGCTCGCGCCACTTCTACACGTGCGAGCTCCTCCAGTGCCGCCGTTGCGGGCTCGAGCGAGCTCACCGTCAGGGGTGGGCCCGCACCCCGCCGTGCCGCGCGCAGTCTGGCCAGACAGCGACGGGGCATCCCTGATCAGTCTAGAATGTGTTCGGGCTAGACACTTATGGTCCCTTTCCTCCTCTGGCCCTTTCTTTCCGCCAGAGCTGTTCGTTCGCCCGCGCGACCCCGATTCAAATCGGATGCCCCGCCGCCGTTTGGCTTAGCGCGCGCATGCGCGTCTATACACAGTATCGATGATTTTAAATTCCCGCGATCTACAGCACATTGCTGCCATGATTTCTCGATTCAAGCATCCAATCACCGCAGTTCTAGCGCTTCCTCCCTCTCCTGCTCGTCCTCTTCCCCGTCCTCCTCCCTGTCCTTTCTCTCATCTTCCTGTCCTCCTCCTGCCTCTCAATTCTCTCCTCCTCCTCCTCCTCCTCCTCCTCCTCCTCCTCGTATTCATACCCCTCCTCCTCCTCCTCCTCCTCCTCCTCCTCCTTTCTGAATTGGCCAGACCTTGCGCTCACGCGTGCGGCGCTCTTGAAATGCAACAGAGAATGAAGTGCAAACGACTCGGCGCGAAGGGTGCCGGGCGGGCGCCTCTGCTAAGGTGGTAAGCGGAGACAGTGAAAGAGCATAGGTAGAATAGTAGTCGCCCGCCAGGTAACGCAGCTTGCACCTTAGCGGTGAAGCCCAAAACGAGTAATAATCAATTGACACTTAGTGAACGCCAGTTTACATTAGGTACATGCTACGAACGATGCAAAGGTAATGAAGAAGCAGTGCAGTGGCGCCGCTTTGACTGCGCAGTTCTAGGGTTGCTGTCCACGGTTTTGGGCGACCCCAAACCGTATGTAGTGTTTGCATCCTCCACCGCCGTCTACGCACGATCCAACTCCCACTCCTCCATAGCAGGTGCCATCTTGGCAGACTGCATTGAGCAGAACAAATATGCTTATTGCTAGAGAGATTGGAGATAGGATCTGCGCGGAGCCCAGGGCTCCCTGTGGAAGCAGCCTGTAGCAACTCACACCCGAAAGCAAGAAAAGACCAGGATCATGGATCAGAGGATGGATTCCAAGATTCTGCGCACGCCGATCGGAGGGTGGGCGCGCCGCGGTCCTGCTGCATTGTTCTGCGATGCACCTGCGCAGGCTGGCCTGTCTGGAATCAAAGGGGCCTGCGCTGCTGGCCGTGATCGCATCATCTGATTAGCTTATTCGAAGCAGCTTGTGGCGAGATGGCATAACGCAGAACGTGCGCACGAGCTGCTTCTGCCGAGTGCGCACTGTGCAACTGGTCCGCTCACGTGGGCAGATTGCTCACATGGGCGTCTAGGACAGAAAGGAATACAAAGAGTCTGCGCACGCTGAGTGGCTTGGCACACGTCAAAAGAAGTCGGAGCCTTGTGGGGCAGTGAGGCTTGAGAGTCAAGCGAAAAGCCCCTCTCGCCAGCAGTAGGCCCGCTTTTTCTGCCAGCAGTAGGCCCGCTCTTCAGTTCATTGGTGGAGGGGCCACCGTCGCCGCGCGCAATGCCAGCAGTAGAGGTGCGCAGCGAGGCGGGTGGAGAGTAGCCGGAGATGTGAGAGCGAGGCTGGGCATGCGCTGTGGGGCTTGCCGATGCCAGGCAAAATGTATGTTAGCTCCGCAGGTTGGCTGACATCGCCTGCGGGTGCAGGCTGGCTAGAAACAAAGTGAGGCTGGCTGGCGCGCGCTGTCCTCAACCTCGACCTCACAAGACATAGTTTTGATGGCGCGTTCTGTGTAGAGCCGAGAGCACTTCGTGGAAGCAGCACGTAGCAACTAACACCAGAAAGCAGTCCATAACCAGAACAGAACATGGAACATACGATGCACAGGTTGCTTCCGTTTGCTCACGTAAGCGTGCGCGCTGATGCCCGCGCAGGGCAAGTGCTACGACCGCGTTCAAGGTGGCGTCTGTAGACTGCCAGAGTTACGCGCGCATGTCATCACTTGTAGGAGGGGGGCGCCATTAGGTATGAGGCTGACGTGGCCAAAAGGAGGCTTGCGCCGCAGCAGCGGCGAGAGATAAGGGCAACTCGCTGTGCAAGATAACCGTGTTCGGCTGCCTTGCAGCAGAGGCTGGCCGAGTGATCAAATGAGATGGTATTACTGTTTGCACTTGTGCGCGAGAATTCGGAGCGAGTGGACGGGGCGCCTCGGGTGCCCCTTCTAAGTCGGCCTTTCGCGTTTAACCGCAGGTCAATGCGGTGGTGCGCATGGCTCATCACATTTTTGCGCAATCCTAGGGCTGCGACCCAGGGCGGGAAAGCGCCACCAATCGCGTCAGGCGATCCGCGAGGGCAAGAAGAATCCTCCTCCTCTCTCCTCCTCCTCCTCCTCCTCCTCCTTCTCCTCCTCCTCCTCCTCCTATTTCTCCTCCTCTTTCTCCTCCTCCTCCTCCTCCTCCTCCTCCTCCTCCTTCTCTTCCTCCCTCCCCCTCCTCCTCCTCCTCCTCCTCCTCCTCCTCCTCCTCCTCCTCCTCCTCCTCCTCCTCCCTCCCCCTCCTCCCTCCTCCTCCTCCTCCTCCTCCTCCTCCTCCTCCCTCCTCCCTGTCCTTCCCTCCTCCGCCTCCTCCTCCTTGGGGCAAATGGGGATTTACCCCTTCTTGGTGGGACTGAAGTCCTTCAATAAGGCCGCCGAAATCCCACTATTGGGGAGGGCTTCTAAAGACCTTTCAGGGTGATTGAAAACATCAAGAGGTGTTGTGTCGCTATTTTCGGCCTCCAGAGGCCCTCGCCGGGCCCTGGTACCGTCAAGAACGACTCAGAATGAAAAACTGGTCCCGTGGAGTGGGTCGAGATTTCGGGGACCCCGTATTGACAAATCAAGGCATCGGATTCTTGGGGGATCCCCTTATACCTGAGATCCTGGCGTCGCGGTGCTTTCACACCAGGCGTTTTCGCCCGGCTTCGTGCCCCAGGACCACATATCGATTCGTCTCGAATAGCGCTGCAGAGAGATGGAATCTAGAGCTCCCGGTGTGATTCCCAACGCCAGATCTCAGGGATCCTCCTCCCCCTCCCCTCCGCTTCCCCTCCCCCTTCCCCCCATCCTCCCCCCACCTCCTCTCCCTCCCCCCCTCCACCTCGTCTTCCCGTCTCTCCTCTCTTCCTCTTCTTCCCCCCCTTTTCCCGGGACTCGCGCCCTCGCTGGACCGTCTTCCTGCGCTGCTCGGCATCGCCCTTGGAGCGCCCGCCGGCGCGACCCGCCCGGTTCGCGCCCGCCCGCCCGACGCGCCCGCGCAGAGCGGGGAGGGGGGGGGCCCGGCGCCGCCCCGGCTCGCCCCGCTGGGGGGGGGGGCCCGCCTGCTCAGAGCCCGTCGGGCCGAGCGACAGGGGGGGTCGCGCGGCGATGTTCTGGCGTAAGTTCGACGCAGATCCGACGTAGATCCAGAGTAAACCCGACGCAGTCCGATGTGAACCCGACGCGCAAAGCCGACATCCGGGCCGAACGAAAGGGGGGGATAGGGAAAGGGGGGGGGCTACGAAATCTGCTGCATGCAGCTGGTTTCGGCCCCGCCGCCTGGCCCATTCCTCGATGCCTGGGCGCCTCCCGGCGCCAGGAGGCGCCGGGAAAATCAGCTACGCGAGCTGATTTTCAACCCCGCCCTTTGCTATATCCCCCCCCTTCCGCCCAGCCCGAGCCCGCCTGCTGGGGGCCCGCTCGTCTTCCGTCTGCCCGGGCCCCTCCCCGTCTTGACCTCGAGGAATCAAGGGTTGCAGAGGCGGCCCTGATTAGTAGGTCGACCCTGCCAGATCAAGGGTATACCCTCGTGTCCTGTGTCTTGCGACCCATGCCTCCTGCATTTCTGTGGCAACGTGGCCCCCGGAAGGGTCTTGTGTCCTCTCGCGTGTCCTCTCCAATCAAGTCCGACTGTAAGTCCGTAGCCATTTTGGCTCAAGAATTTGGAGCAGTCCAGGCCGCGCGGCGGATTTTTTCGCCCCCCGCCGCCGCATGTTACGGAGCTGGCCCAGGAGCCCGTCACGGGCAGGGCTGCTGTTGTGGATGGCGCTGCCGCTTGCGGCGTCACGCCACGCCGTAGCGGAAGAAGTGGACAAGAACACGCACGAATGCATCGGCGGCAACGTTGGGATTTGCAGATGTTTACTCAGCCATCCGCGTTTCAAGAGAGACCCTGACGAGTGCAACAAGTCCAAGGAGCCCGACAGCCTCGCCTCTTCGGCGCTGGTGACCGCCATGGAGGAACCGAACAGCCAGTGCGCCACCATGGGCCTGCTCGTGGAGTGCTCACGGAACCTCGATTGCTACGACCAGGAGGTCATGGAAAGGTGCCTCGAGGTGGATAGTTACAACGATGGGTGCGACCTCGAGTGCAAGGAGTCCACGACCACCGAGACCATGACCACCGTGACGTCAACCAGCATGACGACGACGGTCACCGAAGTCATTATGGTCGATTATAGCTCCACGGTCCTGAAATTCGCGATGCTCTTCGCGGCTTGCGTGCTCCCCCTCATGCCCATGGTGGTTTGCGGCTGCTTCCCAAAGGCCGCCGCTGGTTGCGTGGAGACGCTGAGGTACCGGCGGTCCTCCTCCCAGAAGTTCCAGCCGCTCGCGGGGAACCGTGCCGCGCCGGCACCGACGTCGGCGCACCCGTAATTAGGCCGCGGCGGGAGGAAACAAAAAAATCAAGTCCGACTGGAAGTCGGGCCTGTCCCTCTACAGGAGGGAAATTCAAAAATAGTCAAAAATAGTCAGGGGACGATTTTCAGATTATTTCTCTCCTTTTGGGGGCACTTTTTGAGTATTCTTTTTTGTTTCGCCCAAAATCCCCGTCTTGATTCCGAGGAATCAAGGTTCGGATGCAACTCCTGGGAGGTCAACTTATGATTTTGCCCTGGTCTGAAATCCAGCTTCATCCCGCTTGATCTGGCGCTCAATCCCGCTGAATCCCGTTTAATCCGGCTTAATCCGAGGCCCACTCCGGCGTAACATGGGGCACTCCTCTACGTGCTGAAGGCACGGTGGCGGATTAATGAGCGCACCCCCTCCCCCACTTACCATACCGACCCCTACGCAAGGGCCAGGGCCGACCGACCTGCCGCCAACTTTCAGGCAAAATCTGGATCCTGCTCGAACGCTCCCGATTCGTTTTTTATTAACAGTGGCAGCGGGGGTGCTAGCATATTGCCTGGCCCATCACTCTTGTCAAACGCCTATGCAAAGTGCACGTTGCGGCAAAATCTCGGACCATGTGCGGGCGCACCGTGATCATGCTGCATTTTTATTGTCAACTCCACTGCTCGCGCAATAATTCCACCCAGCCGCCCGCAACTTCGTCTGCAAAAGAATGCGGTGGCGATTGCGATGAGTGCTTGGCGTTGGCTGGTCCATGTCTGCGGCCGCGCCGACCCAAGAACGTGCGCGGCGGCCAGCTAGTTTGGCGCGACCGACGCGGCCGCGGTGGCGCTGACCGCTGGGCGCACCCCAGCGGGCACTTCAATGCGAGTCGGCGACTCGGGTGGGCGCGGCATCATGGCAACATCGACAGCGGTAGACATGATGACGATCATAGTAGCGATGCTGGTGGCGATGTCGATAACGGCGACGGCGCGGCTAGTCTGGGCGCCGATGCTGATCACGCCGACGACAATGACGGCGCCCCCGCGTCGGTGATGAAGGTTTTGGAAAGAGTTCGACATGCGCGCGCGTCCGACGCGCGAGAGTGGTTCGCATGGTATGTTTTGAAACGGATCGTGCCCCCCCCCCCCCGAGCACGCGCAAGGGCGCGCGAATGATTTCGGCATGCGGCGCCAGAGGCCATCTTAGGGCGATATTCGGCCGTCTTGGTGGGCTCCTGGCCCGTCTGGCGCCGTCGGAGGCCGTTTTGGGAGCCTCTCTGGGTTGATTTGGGGTCCTCTTGGAAATTCCCCACATGTTTCGTGGGGTTCTGGTTTTCTTCTCTGCCGCGTCGCACCCGCGTCTTCTCACACACACCTCCCCTCCCCCCCCACACACAGCACAGCTCAGCACAGCTCAGCACAGCTCAGCTCAGCACAGCTCAGCACAGCTCAGCACAGCACAGCACAGAGCACAGCACAGCACAGCACAGCACAGCACACCGCAGCACAGCACAGCACAGTACAGCACAGCACAGCACAGCATAGCACCCACACACACACACACACACACAAGCACGCAAAGCATGGCAGGCGTGGCACTTTCTCGACACCATAGGGGGTGCGCAAGGGGTGGTCCCTCAGCGCGGCCTCTATCCGTGACACGCTCGCAGATCGTGGCAAGAGTGGCACTTTCTCGACACCACAGGGGGTGCGCAGAAGGTGGTCCCTCAGCGCGGCCTCTATCCGTGACACGCTCGCAGATCGTGGCAGGAATGGCACTTTCTCGACACCGCAAGGGGTGCGCAGAAAGCTGTCCCTCAACGCGGCCTCTATCCGTGACACGCTCGCAGATCAAGGCAGGAATGGCACTTTCTCGACACCACAAGGGGTGCACAGAGGGTGGTCCCTCAGCGCGGCCTCTATCCGTGACACGCTCGCAGATCGTGGCAGGCGTGACACTTTCTCGACACCATAGGGGGTGCGCAAGGGGTGGTCCCTCAGCGCGGCCTCTATCCGTGACACGCTCGCAGATCGTGGCAAGAGTGGCACTTTCTCGACACCACAGGGGGGGCGCAGAAGGTGGTCCCTCAGCAAGGCCTCTATCCGTGGCACGCTCGCAGATCGTGGCAGGAATGGCACTCGACACCACAAGGGGTGCGCAGAAAGCTGTCCCTCAACGCGGCCTCTATCCGTGACACGCTCGCAGATCGAGGCAGGAATGGCACTTTCTCGACACCACAAGGGGTGCGCAGAGGGTGGTCCCTCAGCGCGGCCTCTATCCGTGACACGCTCGCAGTTCGTGGCAGGAGTGACACTTTCTCGACACCACAGGGGGTGCACAGAGCGTAGTCCCTCAGCGCGGCCTCTATCCGTGACACGCTCACAGATCGTGGCAGGAGTGGCACTTTCTCGACACCACAGGGGGTGCGCAGAGGGTGGTCCCTCAGCGCGGCCTCTATCCGTGACACGCTCGCAGATCGTGGCAAGAGTGGCACTTTCTCGACACCACAGGGGGGGCGCAGAAGGTGGTCCCCCTGCGCGGCCTCTATCCGTGACACGCTCGCAGATCGTGGCAGGAATGGCACTTTCTCGACACCACAAGGGGTGCGCAGAAAGTGGTCCCTCAGCGCGGCCTCTATCCGTGACGCGCTCGCAGATCGTGGCAGGAGTGGCACTTTCTCGACACCACAGGGGGTGCGCAGAGGGTGGTCCCTCAGCGCGGCCGCTATGCACGACGGTCGTCCAGGGCATAGCAGGCGCTGCTTTTTCTCGACACCATAGAGGCTGCGCAGGTGGTGGTCCCTCACCGCGGCCGCTATGCACGACGGTCGTCCAGGGCATAGCAGGCGCTGCATTTTCTCGACACCATAGAGGCTGCGCAGGGGGTGGTCCCTCACCGCGGCCGCTATGCACGACGGTCGTCCAGGGCATAGCAGGCGTGGCACTTTCTCGACACCATAGACGGTGCGCAGGGGGTGGTCCCTCACCAGGGCCGCTGGCTGGCTCGAATCTGTCCTCGATGGAGGATAGAAGGCTAGGAAGAGGGAGGCTCAAGCAATGTGGCGTTGGATGACACACAGGGGAACATTTGCGACGAGGGCTGAGAACGCAGAATTGCGCATATATTATACACTTAAGCAAGCACATAAGATTTAAATTAAGTATGTGGGGTTCCTCGGTAGCGTAATTTCCTGGGCCTTTTTGGAAGCTTTCTTAGGCGTCTTAGAGGCCTCTTGGGTCGCCCTCTTGGGGCCGTATTGGGGGCCTCTTGGGCAGTTCTGGGGGTTTTTGGGCCGTCTCGGGCCGTCGGAAGGCTGAGGAAAAGCAAATGTCAAAATCCTTCAGAAGCCAATGGAAAAGCAATGATGTTGGCCTCTTCGGGCCTTCCTGGAGGCCCTCTTGGAGGCCTCTTGGGCCATCTTAGAGCCAGTTTGGGCCGTCTTGGTGGGCTTCTGGCCCGTCTGACGCCGTCGGAAGCCGTCTTGGGGGCCTCTGTGGGCCCACTTGGAGCCTTCTTAGGGTGCTCCAGGTCCGTCTTGGAGGCTTCCTTGGGCGTCTTAGAGGCTTCTTGGGCCGTCTTTGGGCGCTCTCGGGACCGTCGTGGGGGCCTCTTGTGGCGATCTTGGGGGCCTCTTGGACTGTCTTGGGCCGTCGAAAGGAGCAAATACGAAAGTCCTTCAGATACCTAAGACACATTAATGCTTTTCGCCTCTTCGGGCCCTCCTGGAGGACCTCTCGGAGGCCTCTTGGGCCGTCTTGGAGGCTTCTCAGGCACTTCTTGGGCAGTCTTGGGCCGTCTTGGAGGCCTCTTGGGCGGACTTGGAAGTATATTGGACCCTCTTGGGCCGTCTTGGAGGCCATCTTGGACCATCTTGGGCGAACTTGGAAGCCATCTTGGGCCATCTGGACCCTCTTGGAGGCCATCTTGGGCTGTCTTGGAGGATTTTTAAGGACGTTGAATTCGTTCGCGCGCCTTCCGTGTGGCCGGCGCGTTGGGCCGAAGCCCAGGGGGAATTTCGAAAAGAACGAAAACCGAAGGGATCCAGCACGCCAGGCACTCTTGTGGCAAGCCAACAGGCGGCGGCGGATCGAAGACGCCTACAGCGAATCACCGCCGCCCACTGCCTTTTTGGAAGCGCCTGCGTGGTCGAAAGTTGGATTTGAGCTTGGCCAAGCTATCAAGCCACGCGTTCCCCGAGTGGGTTTCGAAAGCCTTCGGGGAACACGGAGTCGGGCGAACTATCGGACCAGGTGGTTTCCGAGCTTTCGGGCCTTCCTGGAGGATGTTTTGGAGGGCTCTTGGGACTTTTGGGCAGTCTACGGCCATCTTCAGGCCATCTGGGGCCGTCTTGGGTGCATCTTGGGGCCATCTTCGCTGCCTTGGAGGCTTCTTGGCCGTCTTCGAGGCATCGTGGAGGCCATCTTGGCCGTCTTGGAGGCCATCTTCGGCGTCTTCGCGGCCATCTTAGGCCGTCTTGGGCTCGTCTTGGGGCCCTCTTGGGGGCCTCTTGAGCTGACATGAGGCCATCTTGGAGGCCTCTTGGGCGCTCTTGGGACGATGTTGGGGGCCTCTTGAGCCGTCTTGGGCCGTCGGAGAGCTGACAAGAAGAAAATGCCAAACTCCTTCAAAAACCTAAGGAAAATCAATGAACGTTGCCCTTTCCGGCCTTCCTGCAGGACGTCTCGGAGGCCTCTTGGGGGCCTCTTGGCCAGTCGTAAGCCATCTTGGAACCATCTTGGGCCGTCTTGGCCGCCTTGAAGGATATCTTGGCCGTCTAGAAGGCGTCTTGGGGACCATCTGGAGCCCTCTTGGAGGAAAGGGCGCCGCAAGCTGTATTTTCATAGGTTTGGAGCCCCAGGGGATGGCACCGAACGCCGCGGTTCCACTGGCTGGCGTTTGAGGTTAAGGGTTCTTTACATTCAGCGAACAAGCGGCGGCCGCATACGCGCGGTGGGCGAATGCCTCCTCAGCGCTGCGCGCTTCGTCGGTGCCACGTACGTGGAATGGGCAGGCTCGCTGAGCGCTCGGCCAGGCGCCACGGGCTACGGACGTTGCGCAGCCCGTGGCTTGCAGTTTAGGGTTTAGGGGTTGAGGGTTTATTAAGTGA